CCTGCCCAGCAAGAAGGTCCCGGTGGCCCGGGAGGCCCATCCATTCAGTAATGCCGAGGCTGCTCTCTGGCCCTTTGGCTTAGCCCAAGCTTGGCCTGCAGCCCTGTCCTCACAGCCCCACGCCCTGCCAGCTCCTTGGCAAGAGTTTGTTCCTGCCAGGTGTTTGCGTGGGCAGGGGAAGGAGGGGGCATGCCAGCTGTGGCAGGGCGAGCTGGCTCCTTCTGGTGTCCCGGGGGCTAGCACAAGTGCAGCAGGTGGGACTGTGGACAGACAGATCTTGGCATCATAAGGAAGTGCTTTCTAACAGTGGCAACAGACCATGTTTTGTTCAACTTTGTGTTTGTGTTTCCAGCTCTGGCCTAGTCCAGGGGAGGTGCTTGGTAAATGCTTATTGAGTACGTGATAGGACGCTGATGTCTTATTCAGGAATGTAGTGAGCTCTCTGTCCTTGGGGGTGTGCAAGTGAAGGCTGCCTTAGTGAGAGACTGGGGTGAATGGTCTTCCAGCCAAGAGACCCCATGGTCCCATAATTCAGATAATGGTAACTTCTATTTTTGTGGAGACAGACTAGACTTCTGATAGCCTGGAGAGGGAAACAAGGGTGTTCATGTGGGCATACGCACACACACACACTCACAGGATGTTTCTCAAAGCAGCCTAATGTGTGTGTAACGTAGGGTCAGAGGCAGGGCAAAGGCTCACTCTTAAAAAGGGGCTGCATCCGTCTTGCAGGTGTAAACAGCCTTGCCACTAACAGATGTGATAACTCTGGTCAAGTGGGTAAGAACTGGAGGACCGTAGCAAGTAGTGGGTACATAAACCGGGGAGCTGCCCTGGGGTTCCCGAACATTCGGCGGTAAGGACACCTGGCTAGCAGCAGCAAGAAGACAGCTGCTCCTGGTGAGCCACGAGGCCTCCTTGGAAGTCAGCTGATTTCCCCACACCTGAGGGAGTCACCAGTGCCTGGAGGAGAGGAGGGATTCCATGGACTCTGGTGGCTCACAGTTGCCACTGAGGCTTTTGCTGGTGGCTGGCGGCCCTGGTTGTGGTAGATAAATCACCAGGAAGGTGCTGACCCCAGTAGCGGAGGTAAGGCAGGTAGTCAGCTAGTATGTGGCCCTGCACACTGTGGGTGGCAGTGCAGGAGACTGTGAGCCACTGAGGACAGAGGGAGACATGGGAGAGGCGAGTGCTGCTGGCCTTGCCTTAATTAATGTTGGGTAGCTCCCTTCCTGGCATTCCAGGAGGCAGGGTGACAGCATTTGAGACATTACTATTTCCTTAATGAGGCAGGTGGAGTCATGGCAGATTAGCCTTACAAATATGCATGACCCTGTGGCATTTAAAGAAACCTGTGCCTGAGAGTTCATAAAAATCATCTTTTGGTGCCAAAATGCCAGGTCCAGAGGAGCCTGAAATAGGTGTGGATGAATCCCTTTCCCAGAGCAGAGATGCAGAGATGCAGTTCTGTGTCTGCTCTGGCCTCAGTGGTGACTGCAGTGGTGAGGATGGTAACTGTCAGCCTTGAGGAGGGAGCAGCAGTGGAGAGCAGCCACTTGTTGTGAGCTCCTTTCCCTCTCTGGGCTCCTGATTTCTCTATTAAACAAGGAGGTTGGTCTAGTTGATTATTTCTGCCCCTTCTGACTTGAATGGTCCTGATTTCTCTCTGTGAAATACAGTGTTAGCGTCGATCCCTGACTCTGCTCATCTTCCTTCCTGAGACCGTTCATATGTGAAGACTTCAGAGTTTGCTGAAGATTGTATGCTTCCCACACCTTGGGGAGAGAGAGCCTGGTTGATCTGACATCATCTTCACACCTTGTTCTAGTCCAGTGTGTTGCCAGTAACATAAATACCCAAGTCTGGGTAATTTATAAGAAGAGAGATGTATTTAGCTCTTAGTCTTGGAGGTCCAGATGCTGCATCTGGTCAGGGCCTTCTTGCTGGTGTGTAACACAAGCAAGGGCGTCACATGGTGAGAGAGCAGGAGTGCGTGTGTCTGTGTCCATGTCTGTGCCTCCTTATGAACCTATGCATATCCAATCTCTCATCCGAATCTCCCAACGTTTGCACCTCTCAATGCCACAGTCAGATCAAGTTTCCACCCTCTTAATCCCATCACAGCCAAATCTTGACTCATGAATTTGGGGGGACGCTTAAACCACAGCACCTCTCAGGCTCTGTGGTGCTACAGCTTCTGCGGTGTGCTCTGCCGTCTGTCTCTCTGTCTCTGGTGGCATTTGCCTACTCGAATACCCTGTGTCCTGTGCACACACAGCCCACAGCAGTTTGTAGTGATGGCAGGTGGGATGTCTGGAGGGCTGAACTGTATCTCACACAGAGAGATGTGTGCAAGAAGAAGGCATAAGTAATTGGAAAGTTCTTAATGTAGCATCAAAAACAGTGATTAATCATAACAAAAACCCCCAGCCTTATGTAAAACAGATTCTTTATCACTTTTCTCTGATTAGCTGCTCATGTCTCCCACTTTTCCTTGTCCTTGGCTTGTAGAAAGAAAAGTTTCAAGATGATTCGATCCCAGTCCCTGTCTCTGCAAATGCCGACGCAGCAAGATTGGAAGGGTCCCCCGACAGCCAGCCCGGCCATGTCTCCCGCAACCCCCGTGCTCGCTGGAGCCACTGCCCAGCCCACGCCAGCACCCTATGTCATGCCCGAGTTCCAGCGGGTCACCATCAGTGGCGATTACTGTGCTGGGGTAAGGTGTCTCCTTGGGCTCCCCTGAGTCTATGGGAGTGTTGTATATGCCTTGCACATAGAGGCCAGGGGCCCCTGGGACCGTTGGATCACATCCACCCCTGAAGCTCAGCCCAGTCTGTAGGTATTTGGGAAGAGGCAAAGAGGAATTATAGGAGTCTGAAGAGAAGGAGGGTCCTGCCGAGGTCATGGGGTGTGGGTTTTCTAGGGTGCTGCCCATCCCTGTGAGGAGGGTCCAGGGCTGTAGGCCGGTGGATGGTGGCTGTCAAATTTCCATGTTTTCTAGGTCCTCCCTCCCTGTGGCCCATTGAGAACAGTGCCAGCATGGGCCCCTAGGCCTTCCCCAGTGTTTCATGGATTAGGGGTCATGGCATTGATTGGCTTGTGTGAAATTGGTTATTGCCGAATCAGCTCTTCTTACATTGCGCAGGTTCTGTACCCTTAGAAATGGGCTAGGTCTGCTCAGTCAGAAAGGGAGGATCTTGATTCACAAGTGAACAAGCTTGGGTTACACCAAACCAGTGAATTTAGTCACTGTGGAGGTGCTAATTGTGTCTGATTGGAGGATGAGTTTTTATTGCTTATTTCTTAAAGAGAAATATCACGAAGTTAGTGCCAAGATTAACTTTGGGTCTGTCTTGCTGGCTCCAAACACATTATTCAAGCCTCAGTTGGCCTTGTTAGTTTCTCTTCTTTTTTAAAGTCATTGTTGTTCTTTGTAACTTTTTCTTTTGTGAGAAGTTTTTACTATAGGGCACTGGCACTCTCCAGACAGACAGAGAGACAGAGAGACAGAAAGCGAGAAATCAACCCCCAGAAGGAATGGCCATGCCACAATCCCTTCTCCTCCATTCTCCTCTCAGGATCTTGGGCACACATGCACACACAGCCAGCATGAGTTTAAGCCACCGGGTCTGGGACTCGAACCGCAGTTGACTACATGGGAGTCCAGTGACATAGCCATTATGTCATCTGCTGGTCCCCTTTGTAACTTTTTTTAAAGCTCATTTATTTATTTCTTCTGAGAGAGACAGAAACAGAGAGAGACAGAGACACAGAGAGGGAGAGAGTGACAGGCACACCCAACAGGGTCATCATGCCATGATCCACCCTAAGCCTCAACCAGCCAGAATTCTGGCATGCATATGTGCACACATTGTGTACAGGGAGAACTCAGGATGCGAACCTCGGACCTTCCTGTGTACTCTTAGCATCACACACATGTATGACCACTGTGCTCCAGTGACTGAGATCTTTCTCTCTTCTTTCTAGTAATAGTTGTAGAATATGTAGTAAATCTGAAGAAGAAAGCTACTTATTACTCTTCTTAAATTTTTTTTTTTTTTTTTTAGATTTTTTTGCCATAGGGCTTATGTACTCACTGGAGAGAGACAGGGAGAGGAAAAGGGCATAATCATCCCCACAATCCCTTCTCCATTCTCCTCTAGAAATTGTGGGCACATACAGACATGTACCTGGTGTGTTTTTCAGGTGTCCAGGTCCAGGACTTGAACTATAGAGTTGACCATGTGGAATCTAGTGCCTCGACTGCCCTGCCACTGGCTGGCCCTTAAAATGTTTTTCTACCTTTAAAAAGCTTTATTTTTTTGTGCCATAGGGAATACTTGCATAAAGTACACAATTTAGAAGGTACAAAAATGGATTCCCACCCTCCAGCCACTCATTCCCCTCCTCAGAGGCAGCCATTGGTTTTGGCTTCTTGTGCGTGGTGTATGTATCTACAATGAATTAGGCACATGTGGTTTATTCGCTTTTACACAAGTGGTAGTTTACCACATACCCTGCCCCTTGCTTTTTTTCACTTGACAGTACATCTTGGAGCTCATGCCATATCAATATGCAAAGAGCCTTCTTATTCTTTTTTGTAAGTGTGTAGTATTTCATTATGTGGCTATGCCATCATTTATTTCAGTCCGCATAGATGGGAATTTAGATTGGATTGCAAACAGTCAGTTCTTATCTGACCAGTTGCTCACTAGCTGTGGGCAAGTGGGCAGAGAAATGGGAAGAGAGAGTCGAGGTGGGCTGACTGCCGGCCAAATGGGCAGACACAGGCCTGGAATGTTCGCTAGCTCCTTTCTACCAGTCTCCCAGCTGGCACACGGTAGAGCATGGAGCCCCAAGCCAGGCAACTGGTTCTGACAGAGCTAAGTGTCTGAGAGAAGCGACTGACCTTGCAGACCTCCTTGGAACCCAGTGGGTGTGCTGTTGCCTTGGGACCTGCAGTGCTGACAAGTGCAGCTGCTGGCCACTGATCCACTGGGATCCTGGGCACCCTCCTGATATCCTTGGCCATGGCCTGAGCCCTGTGTTACATGAGCCCCTTGATTCAGTAGGGACAGTGTTTGGCTTTGCTGCTGGCAGGGACGTATTTTTGTCTAAGGTGTTTGAGTCTGCTCATCCATTCTGCTGCTCTCAGAAACCACCACTGGAAGCTGTGAAATGGAATCAGCATACCCTCATGGGACATACGGTGGCAGGAATAAAGGTCCCACACCTAAACACCAGGAAGGAGGAACAGTTAAAAATACGCAGCTGTATTCCAACTCCTCTCTGGGTGGGGAGGAGGGTAGAGTTTCAGCTCATCTGTGACAACTTATGTGTTTAAATTTGTAAGAAATCTGGAACTATTCTGACAGATATTGATGTTGTTAGCTCTGGAAGGTAGGTGCGTGGGTGTCTGCTGTATTATCTTCCGTGCTTGTCAGTTTGTTTAAAATATTTCAGAATGAAAGATGATTCTTTTCTAAGCAGAGGAGGAAAGTTCCAGGCCCCAGCCCTCCCTTCTGTGTGCTCCACCGGCATGTCAGGCCCTCTGCTCCCTCCCTATCCCCTGCTCTGACTGACTGCTCAGCTCCTGTCTCCCCCATGCGTCTTCCTGATACTCACCCATCCCAATGGAAGGTCGAAACTTATCTCGTTCATCTTTGACTACTAGGGAGCTCTGGAAATGTAGAATATCTTTGGGCTTTGGGACTCCATCAGATCAGTCTGAAATTTGACTAGGTAATCTCCTGGCACATGATTTAACCTCTTGAGGCCTCAGTTTCCCCACTTGTGAAATGAGTTGCAGTGTGGAAAAATGACATCTATGGAAAGGTCTAGCGCATAGCCTGTGACAGTAAGGGCTTGTGGACTGGATAGGCTGGGTGGTCACCGGATGGGCGGCCTGGCAAAGCAGCAGGCTGTGCACGCAGTAGGTTTTGGTGTGTGTGTCACATCTGAAGGACCCGCGCATTTTTTCAACTGAACAAGATGGTACTTGCCCTTATCAGGAGTAGGGCTTGGGCCTTGTCTCTTCATATGCTGGGTGTGGCTACAGGCTTACGGTTTAATCAGCAGCACCTGAGGCCGGTCTCAGGGTGTGCGGCTGGAGCACCCCTCTCCCTCACAGCACCCATAACTCTCCTCTTTGACTCCTGGGTTGGGGGTCCCCAAGACCACCCCAGCTTCTGTGATTGACTAGAAGGACTCGCGAGACTCAGCATAGTTGTATGTACAGCTGTGACTTATCACAGTGAAGGGTACAGAGCAGATCACCACAGGGAGAAGGTACCTGGAGGGGCCCAGGGCAGGCTTCTGAGGGTCCTCTCAGAGAGCACACAGCATGTGACAATGCGTATGATGTGTCGTCTGCAGGGAAGCTCACTAGACTCAGCCCCCAGGGATTTTATTGGGCTAGTTACACATCTGCACAGACTCCCAGGTGTCCAGTATCGACTGTATTATTTGTACAGTTTACAGACAGCGGTCCCTTCTTATTACTCAGAAAATGGTGGGAACCCTCCAAAACTCAGGTTCCCAGATGCCAGTCACAGGCCGGCCTTGCAAGCAGCCCCTTCCAGGGCGGGCAGTCTCAGGCCTGCCGCAAACTATTTCTGCACCCTTTCCTTCTGCAGATCACCGTGGAGGACTATGAGCAGGCTGCCAAAAGCCTAGCCAAGGCCCTGATGATCCGAGAGAAGTACGCACGGCTGGCCTACCACCGCTTCCCACGGACCACCGCCCAGTACCTGGGCCATCGGCGAGCCGACACCACACCTCTGGAAGACGGCCTCCCAGGTACAGAGTGTGGCTGCAGGTGGGGTCCCAAGCGTGGGCCTGCCTGGCCTCGGAGTTGGTCAGGCCTTTTGAATGGCTGCGTGTGTTCCCCATGATGGTGTTTTAAGGCCAGAGCCCTGGTATTGGTTTCTCTTACACAGTTTTCTGGTTCCTGCAAGGATAGATTCTGTGTTTTCTTTGTCCTGAGCAGAGCTGAACTGTAGACATTAAGAGAGAAATGAAAGCTCTTGATCTTGGGAGTCCACCAGGGAGTCAGTCTTATGTAGGATATTAAAAACAAACAAACACAACAGACTCTAAATGCTGAATTGGTGGCACGGTGGGCTGGGATGGGAGCATGATCCCAGGTCAGGGAAGACAACTCTAGGATCAAGCACACCTACATTCACATCTGGGTTTCTCCAATTTCTGGAGACCTTAGCCAGAAGGTCTATTTCTCCACACCTCAGTTTCTTGATCTGTAAAATGGGACACTTGTAATCTCAAGCCCCTAGGGCTGTCCTGAGGATTAAACAGGAGGATGCTTGTGAAGCATTTAATGTAGTTCTAGCATCCAGCGAGTGCTCAATAAATGGTAGCTATGATTCTGCTGTGGAGTCCCGGGAAAGGGAGTGTCAGAGAGGGTAAGACGTCTCTTGATGGAGCCTGTCGGCCCTGAAGGAGTGAGGAGCAGTCAAGGCTATAAGTTGGGTAATAGAAGTGAGGACAGCAGGAAACCTTGCTCTTGCATATAGCAGTGGGGGCAGATGAGGGCCTGGTGGTCTCACTGCACCAAGCTGCCCCTGGCTGTCATTGGTGCAAAGTTGCCCCGTCTCTGGCTTCCTTGAAACTGGAGTCCTGTGTTTTGAGCATATGTTGCTCCCTAGGCCCTGGGTAAGTCTCAGGCCCTGGGTAAGTCTCAAGCCCTCTGGGTCCATTTCCTTGTCTGTCTGAGGAAAGTTGATCCTACCACCCTAATTTTGGCAAGGGAACAGGGATGATTGTCTGCTGTGAACTTCATATGGACAGAGGACCAAGGGGTCCTGAAATGAGTGTGGGGAGGCAGAGCAAACTTGAGTGTGGGCTGTGGCTTCCCGGGAGCTTTTGTAGCTATCTGTGTCTCACCGACCACTGCACACTTCAGGGCCTCCCCAGCTGGCCTGTGCCATGGCCGGTGGGGACATCTACCAGCTCTGCTCTGCTTCATTCCCTCTGTGACTCCTCACAGCTGCTCCAGCGACAGTCTGTTCCCAGCACTGATGGGGGACACTCAGCCCTGCGGCCTAGTGGTTAGGGAGCTGGATCCCACATGGCAACTGTTGGTTTGAATTCTTGCCCCCAGCAGATTGCAAAGCATGCCAGGTACATGTGTGTGTATGTGCCCCAAATCTGACAGTGTTGGAAGAGAAGGGACTATGGCATGACCACACCCCACTGGGTGGCGCTGTTTCCCTCTCCCATGCTGTCTCTCTGTCTCTCTCTCTCTAGCAAGTGCATGAGCCCTTTGGCAGAAAAAAAAAGAATTAGGGTTACTCATTACAAGAGTAATGAGAGCAGTGCCCTGTACTTACTGCAGCACTGTTTGTAGTCCATCTCCCCGCCACACCCAACACACACACACACACTGTTGCAGCCCCCACAGCAGCTCGTGGAGGCAGGGCATGTTATCCTCAGTGAGGACACAGGATCAGAGCAGTAGAGTGGTTTTCTCAGTCTCACAGCTGGGAAAAGCAGAGATCTTTTCTGCCTCCTGAGGATCAACTCAATCCCCAGCCCTGGGAAGCAGGCAGCTCAGTGTCATCCCCTGCTCTGTGGGAGACAGGTCCCTACGCCGTGCCTGGAGGGGGAGTGACTTCTTTTCACTCCTTGGCCAGCCTGGGCTCAGGGAGATTGTTACTCCTGTGGGGCAGTCCTAGAAGCTGTCTGTTCTCTTGTGGGGAGACATACAGCTGCCCTTTTCCAAAGCCCTTTCTAGTTCAACTTAAAAGAGGATTGAAGGGGACCAGCGGATGATGTAATGGTTACATAGCTGGGCTGCCACGTAGTCAACCATGGATTGAGTCCCGGAAGTGGCTTAAAACTCATGTCGGGCACATGTGTGTGTGTGCCCAAAATCTTGAGAGATTAGAGGAGAAAGGATTGTGGTGTGGCCATCCCCTGGGGGGTGATTTATCTCTTTCTATCTTTCTGTCTCCCTCTATGTCTCCAGCGAGTGCACACACCCTATAGCAAAAATCACTCTGAGGAAAAAAGAAAAAAAGGCCTGAGGTGCTAGCCATGTGCCAGGGACTATTCTGGGGATAGTGGTGAGCAGCACAATGCAGTTCTGCCTGCATGGGGCTTCCGTTTGAGTAGAGAAGACATGACACCAATACAATGAACCAAAGTTGCTTGACACAGCGCTAAGTGCTAAGGGGACAGAATAAAGCAGGGGAGATGTCGGAGCAGGTGGGGCTGGCTGACCAGGGACGGCCTGGGGAACTGGTGAGCCTGCATCAGCTCGCAAGGTCACTCCATCCTGTCTTGCAGACTTCCACCCTCCCCCGGGGCCCCAGGAGGACCCTTACTGCCTGGACCATGCGCCGCCCAACCTGGGCTACCTCGTCCGCATGCAGGGGGGCATCCTCTTCGTGTATGACAACGAGAAGATGCTGGAGCGCCAGGAGCCCCACAGCCTGCCCTACCCCGACCTGGAGACCTACACGGTGGACATGAGCCACATCCTGGCACTCATCACTGACGGCCCCACGTAAGCAGCCGGAGTCGTCTCTCTGCAGGAGGCGCTGCTCAGTGGGAGTAGCGGTGAAGGCTAACTGGGTCATTTGTCTGCTCCACGCTTGCCTGCATATAAGCCATCCCAGGAAGGGGGTGGTTTTCTCCTTTTGCCACGCTCTGTGAGTTTCTGAAAGTTTTGCTTCAGAGGCTGGCATGGTCTTTTGAGTCAGTGCTGTCCATCCCTTTGTGTGTGGAAAGTGGCCTTCTGTCTGCTGGTGGCCATCCGTGTACCTTGAACGGCCGTCATCCCTCCCCTGGCAGGATGACAGCCTGCAGAGGGATGCCAGGCATGGCTGTGCATGGGGGAGGGGTGAAGACTGCTGCTTCAGGTCTTGGGCTTCCTGGGTCTCTGGAAGAGAGTACGCAGGGAGCCTGGGAACTGGTGCTGGGCCCCCAGGGTGTGCATGGGCCTAGCTCGGCAGGCAGTTCTTCCTGAATTCAGGCTTTCACTTGGTGGTCACCTCGGATAATCTGCAATGGAGGTTCAGCATTCTAGGCCCGATAGCCCTGGCCTGGCCGTCCTGGCAGTAGGAGCCTGGGGGGAGGGAGAGGGCGCTAGTCGTGTCTGAGCCCTGTCTCTCTTGCTCCTGCCATTTGGGTTTTGCTGGAAATGGTGTGATGCGAGTCTCCAAGAGCAGAGAGCGGGCCCGGGAGATGGGTGGCTCAGCTCTTGGTCTGAGGACAGAACTGAGGTCAGAGGGGCAGGGGCAGTTCCCAGGCGGCTCTCCTCAGCCCAGTGTGTGAGCAGTCTGTCCTATGTGGCCATGGGGAGCCCTGTCTGGAGAAAGGTCCTTCTGACTCAGACTCCCCTGTGTTCTGCCCCTGGACTGACAGATGACCATGCTGTGGTCCACAGCTGCTCCACATGGAAGCCTAGTGATCAGAGGTGGAGGGAGCTGCGTTTTTGTTTTTTGTTTTTTGGCATGGGCACAAGGAAGCAGGGCGGCAGCAATTATGGCTGGAGGTCCTGTGTCTGTGGGCCCTGGCACGAAGGTATGGGTTGGCAGTCAGCCACAGTGTGAGTGCCCTCAACCCAGCAGCCTTGCTGGTTGGGAAAATCTTCCCCTCCCCCTGCCCAGGCCCTCCTCTGGAGTAGTGGGAACCTGAGCATCAGTCCTTGCAGAGGTTTCTGCCAGCAACAAATGTCCCTGCATTCCTCACTGCCCATGATACAAAACAAAGCATCATCTTGTCCTAGAATCTTGAGATGTCCTAGGAATTTGGAATTCGGTGCCCCTGCACCCCAGGGTGGGTACGTCATGCCTTGTAGTCTTCTGTATTGCCCATCTTCTGGGCCATTAATTTCTTCTGTAAGGAATAAACTATGACTGAGGATAGATGGAAGAAAGAGAAGGGAAGGAGGGAGATTTACTGAGTGTCCACTCTGCTTAAGTTTTCACAGGCATAACTCAGTTTAACCATCACTTCAACCTTGGGTGCTACCATCTCAGTATTTCTTCATGGGAAACAGAGGCTCACAGTTAATTGTGCAAACACACATGCTAGAAGTCAAAAAGCCCCCATGAGGTCCCAAGGTTGGCTCTCCACTGCCCATATCTGCACTCCCCCCCCACCCCAGGTGTGGTTACACGGTCCAGCTGGGTCTGTAGAAACCTGGACCCTCCTCATTCCCTAACTCCACCATGCTGGGCCCTGGCCCTTCCACCTGAGAGTTGGCCCTGTGAATGCTGGTGGTCTCCCCACCCAAGAGCTCGATGTGAGTTCTGTTCAATGGTGGTTTCTCCTCTCCCACCCCCTCCAATCCTCAGGAAAACCTACTGTCATCGACGACTGAACTTTTTGGAATCCAAGTTCAGCCTTCACGAGATGTTAAATGAAATGTCTGAGTTCAAAGAGTTGAAGAGTAACCCGCATCGAGACTTCTACAACGTGAGAAAGGTGTGTGTTAGTGGCCAGAGTTTAGTGCCACTCCCTCCTGCCCCCTCTTGGTCTCCTTGCCAGCCATGGATGCCGAGTCAGTCTGGAGCTAGTCCACATGAGGACGTCAGCACTCCAGGGTAAGAGCGGCCTTGCTTGCCCAGAGGAGGAAGATGCGAACATGCAAAGGGAAGAGGGTGAGCTGCTGTGGCCTTGTGTCAGGCTGTGCTCCGATGGTCCTCATATCGCTCTAAGTGGAAGGCTCTGGCCACATTGTAGATGTGGTAGGAGCTGCCTTCTGCCCCCAAAATAGGGCATAACTTGTTAATTGGTTGCAAAAGTTGAACACAGGCTACTTTTAGGGTAGGAAATAGATTCGTCAAGGAGGGAAAAGGCTGTTAAGATCTCTCTAGACTTGGGAGTCTGTGTTTTTTCATCCTTTGAGATCATGTGTATATAAAGAAAAGCATCTAGGGCTGAACCCATGGCCTAGGGCTTAAGGTGGCTGGATGATCCCTCATGGCTGACCACAGTTTGAGTCCCAGCCCCACTGGCTTGCAAAACACACCAGGCATGTGTGATCCCGAAAGGAGGGAGAAATGGAGGTAAAGAGATTGCTGTGTGACCATGCCCCACTGGGGGTGCTGCCCCCTATCCCTGTCTCTCTGGCAAGTGCACACACCCTCTGGTAATTTAAAAAGAAGAAGAAGAAAGCATCAGCGTGCTCCTAGCTATGTTTCTCCTACCCGTTGAGTGAATGAGCAGCCTTGGCCTGAGTTCCTGGCAACCTCAGCTGCAGGGGCTGTGGAGAAGCATGTATGTTAAATGACATGGCCTCTAGCCTTAGTTTTTCCATTTTCTTTTATTGATGTCACAGACAGTGAGGCCCAGGATCGGTGCTAAGCATGGGAGTGAGTGAGAGTCACTGCCTGTCAACAAGAAGTTGCAGCCTATTGTTGACTATAGAGACAGGGGTGGCTTCCAGGGAGACATCAGAGCTGAGCTGACTCAAAAAGAGTGGGAGTGAGCCAGGCAGAAAATGGGCAGGGGATGGCAGAGGAATAGCACATGCAGGAGCGAGAGCAGACTGAGATACGAGTGCGTGGTGTGCTGGGTGGGGTGGTAGGGCTGGAGCCCAGGCACTGGGAGTGATGGGTTGTGGATGATGGGACTACAGAAGTTCTAGGGAGGTTCTGGGACATGTTGGGGCCCATGTGTTCTCAGAGAAGGCAGGGAGGTGGGCCAGGGTATGGCCTTAAGCTGAGAGAGAAGCTCATGGGAGCCAGTGGGTGGGGATTCGGCATTGCCTGAAGCTGAGTCCCCCCCCACCCCAGGTGTGGTTACACGGTCCAGCTGGGTCTGTAGAAACCTGGACCCTCCTCATTCCCTAACTCCACCATGCTGGGCCCTGGCCCTTCCACCTGAGAGTTGGCCCTGTGAATGCTGGTGGTCTCCCCACCCAAGAGCTCGATGTGAGTTCTGTTCAATGGTGGTTTCTCCTCTCCCACCCCCTCCAATCCTCAGGAAAACCTACTGTCATCGACGACTGAACTTTTTGGAATCCAAGTTCAGCCTTCACGAGATGTTAAATGAAATGTCTGAGTTCAAAGAGTTGAAGAGTAACCCGCATCGAGACTTCTACAACGTGAGAAAGGTGTGTGTTAGTGGCCAGAGTTTAGTGCCACTCCCTCCTGCCCCCTCTTGGTCTCCTTGCCAGCCATGGATGCCGAGTCAGTCTGGAGCTAGTCCACATGAGGACGTCAGCACTCCAGGGTAAGAGCGGCCTTGCTTGCCCAGAGGAGGAAGATGCGAACATGCAAAGGGAAGAGGGTGAGCTGCTGTGGCCTTGTGTCAGGCTGTGCTCCGATGGTCCTCATATCGCTCTAAGTGGAAGGCTCTGGCCACATTGTAGATGTGGTAGGAGCTGCCTTCTGCCCCCAAAATAGGGCATAACTTGTTAATTGGTTGCAAAAGTTGAACACAGGCTACTTTTAGGGTAGGAAATAGATTCGTCAAGGAGGGAAAAGGCTGTTAAGATCTCTCTAGACTTGGGAGTCTGTGTTTTTTCATCCTTTGAGATCATGTGTATATAAAGAAAAGCATCTAGGGCTGAACCCATGGCCTAGGGCTTAAGGTGGCTGGATGATCCCTCATGGCTGACCACAGTTTGAGTCCCAGCCCCACTGGCTTGCAAAACACACCAGGCATGTGTGATCCCGAAAGGAGGGAGAAATGGAGGTAAAGAGATTGCTGTGTGACCATGCCCCACTGGGGGTGCTGCCCCCTATCCCTGTCTCTCTGGCAAGTGCACACACCCTCTGGTAATTTAAAAAGAAGAAGAAGAAAGCATCAGCGTGCTCCTAGCTATGTTTCTCCTACCCGTTGAGTGAATGAGCAGCCTTGGCCTGAGTTCCTGGCAACCTCAGCTGCAGGGGCTGTGGAGAAGCATGTATGTTAAATGACATGGCCTCTAGCCTTAGTTTTTCCATTTTCTTTTATTGATGTCACAGACAGTGAGGCCCAGGATCGGTGCTAAGCATGGGAGTGAGTGAGAGTCACTGCCTGTCAACAAGAAGTTGCAGCCTATTGCTCTAGCATGGTTACTATTGAGACAGGGGTGGCTTCCAGGGAGACATCAGAGCTGAGCTGACTCAAAAAGAGTGGGAGTGAGCCAGGCAGAAAATGGGCAGGGGATGGCAGAGGAATAGCACATGCAGGAGCGAGAGCAGACTGAGATACGAGTGCGTGGTGTGCTGGGTGGGGTGGTAGGGCTGGAGCCCAGGCACTGGGAGTGATGGGTTGTGGATGATGGGACTACAGAAGTTCTAGGGAGGTTCTGGGACATGTTGGGGCCCATGTGTTCTCAGAGAAGGCAGGGAGGTGGGCCAGGGTATGGCCTTAAGCTGAGAGAGAAGCTCATGGGAGCCAGTGGGTGGGGATTCGGCATTGCCTGAAGCTGAGTCACAGTGGGTGCTCATCTCCATAGGGGCCAACATCTCAGTGAGGACCTCTCGAGGACTGCCCCTCCATGGGGCCAACTTTGGTAAAGGAGAGGCCAGGGGACAAGGTTGCTCCTCTGGGAAATCTTGGCCCAAATCAGACCTTCTGGGTGGGATCACTCAACAATGAGCTGGTGGGCTCCCTTCAGAGATGACCCCTAACAGGGGTGACCCCCAAGGTCACCTCGAAAGACAGGTCCACATTGGACCCCACTTGGATGGGGTTAAGAGCCATAAGAAGTGAGAATTTAGCTTCAGCTCATGAGCTCAGAGAGTCTTATGGAAGTATCTTGGGGACTTCCAGAGGTGAAAGGTCATATGTTAGATACCGCCTCCCTAGGCAGCCTTGCCTTCTCCCTTTAAGCACCATTTACTCCTCTGTGAGCCTCAGGTATTTAGACAGGTGGTGTCTCAGTCACCAGGTTAATCCCTCTTGGGTGTGCTGAAGCACCTTATGTGCCCAGCCCATGCCTGAGTTGGTGCCCGAGCCAGCCCCGCCCAGTGCAGCCCTGCCCACTGTGTGTATGCATGTGCTGGGCTGCCTGCTGCCTGCTGCCTGGGGCCAAGGCGTTGTCATTGACTGCTGACCGTGCTGGCTCTGGCACTGTTTGCTTCTGAGACGGGGCCCCCATGGTGTTCCTAGGCTGACACCTGGGAGTCTTGGTGTTCACATCTCCTGGGAGTTTCCTGTCCTGGGAGTTAGTTGCTTTCTGGAAAGAGGTGACCCTGACATCTATGCTGTGACATAGTGGCTTGCTCTCTGGCACCTCGGTTCATAAACATGGGCCCAGGTGTGCTGTGAGTCAGGCCTGTGTTTTCCCTCCCGGGTAAAAGGAGGCCTGTCTCCTGGGTGCTGGCCACTTTAGCTCACCCTTGTGGCCTTCTAAAATACAGAATGGGCTGAGTGGGTGGCCTCCATATTTCCGGAGTGCTGTTGTGTCATGGGTGGTGCTCTGAGGGCACATGTTGTGGCATGGGCATGGGTCTGGGTGGGTGGAATCTTTGAGTGAACCTGCAATATCACAGCAGCAGGTGGATTAAGACACCATGAGGCACACCTTCCTCCAGCAGCATGGTGTAGCTGACATATTGTCTTCTCAGAGCTAAGAATAAAAAAACTGAGCGTGTTTACTGCTTAGGAGTTGGGAAGAAATAGACGTTATGCAGTTTGGTCTAAGTATCATATTAAAGATGACACATGGGTTTTATCTTTTGTGTCAAACTTGACCAATTGGGAGTGCTACCTAAGGCTACTCTTGGAGCTTAATGTAAAGAGTACTGCAGTTGACTATTAATGTCTGCTGTAGGTCTGGAAGTGGCCAGCATTGACTTAGGTTCCAGGTACTGGCCAGCCCTTTTTGGAAACTACTATTTATTTAGACCTGGGTCTTAGGTGAAGGCCAGGATTACACTTGGATCTGTTGATGAATTGAAAGCACTGGACAAGCCTCTACTTGTTCCTAAAATAATTACCTTTGAGATTCTGAAGTTTGGATTGGGGATTGGATACTTCCCAGATAGTCCAGTTGTTTCCTTCTTTATCTTGTGACTCATGGGGATAAGGATAGGCTGGACCCCCCGTGGTGTGTCACTGGTAAGCCAAGGACACACCAGAAAGCCCAGGATGTGCTGAATCATGCTATGGCCATTGAGCAAGCTGTGTCCAGTTGGGCCAAGCCACGCTGTTCACAGTAACCTAGACTCGTCTCTGGGGTGCCTGGGTATTGACATCTACTTTGAGTGAGGTTTTCGTGCTGTGAATGGGTCCATTTATGTGTTCTCTAGTGGTCTGCCTTTCTATTGGGAGAAGCAGGATTCATGGCAGGAAGGGTGAGTGATGAGTGAATGATGAGACCAATGACATGGGCTGGCTGGTATGTTTGTGGAGGGCCAAAGGATCAAATGTCAGTTGGGCATGGTGTGGGATGCCGGGCCAACTGTGGGCAGCATTCCCTGCCCTGAAGTCAGCCACCTGCATGGATCAGCTTGGTAGAGTGTCCAGTCAGTTGCAGTGTCACAGCACAATGTAGTCTGGTGACTGGGCAGCACCCTAGCCTGTGAGGCTGCTGTCTCCTTTCCTAGGGACCGTGTAGGTCTCTTGGGCTCATGAAAGGGAGTCAGGATGCCCACAGCGGCTGTAAGCCTCTCTCAGTGAAACCGGGCTCTGTCTTTTTTAGGGCTGGTGGCTGTCCTATGAGTGGCGCATGATGGAAAGGAGAGAATGAGACAGGGTGAGGGGGGATCAGGGGATGGGTAGGGACCAGGTCATGTTAGCTGGGCCCTCATCCGAGGACTAGTGCAGAATATTTAGTAACATTCTAGCTTCTGCGTGTGGAGAATGGGTCGAAACAGAGCAAGGAAAAAGGTGGCCAGACTAGTTAGGAGGTTGCTGTGGATTTGGGAAGGGGAGAGCTCAGAGACCTGGACTCATGAGGTGGCAACAAACCAGATTTGAGATCTATCTGGAAGGCCAAATTGATGAGACTTCCTTGTGTTGAGGGAAGGGAGAGGAGAAGGTCAAGGATGACTCCCACTTTTCCTGCATGAACAGTCTGGTGCTGAATTTATCATTTCCTGGAAGGGAGAAGCCTGAGAGATGATGAGTGCTAAGGCTAGAAATGGAGAGTCCTCTTTTGGATACATTAATATAATTTAACTTAATATTTTTTTTCTATAGGGCAGGTGTGCTCTCCAGAGAAAGAGAGTGAGAAAGAGAGAGGAAAAAACACCCCCACTAGGGCATGGTCATGCTATAATTCCTTCTCCATTTCTCCCTCCTTTCAGGATGTGTGGCATGCATGTACATGTGCTTGGTGTGTTTCTCAAGCCTCTGGTCCAGGACTCAAACTGGGGCCAGCCGTGTGGGATCTGGCTACCTTAACCACCACGGGCTGTGGAGCTGGCCTGTGGATACATTAAATTTAAAGTGCCTTTGAGTTATTTAAAGAGAGATGTCAACTAGAAAGTTGTATGTAGAGTTCTGCAGCTTTGGGAGGGTGATATAAATTTGGGAATTGGTATGAAGAAGGTAATTAAAGGCACTAAGGTAGATTAGATCACCTTGGGAGAGCGTGTACAGTGAGAGGATGACAGGGCACAGGACCAGGCCAGTATTGAGAGGTCTGGTAGTGAGGATTAGCCAGCTGGGCAGGCTGAAAGGGAGAGGCCAACGAGGCAAGGGGACAATTTGGTGTCACAGGAACTTAGCACCACACAGAAGTTGTGAGATGGCCCACGGCAATCCTGCTGGGCTCATTTTGGTGCCTTCTGCGAGGAAACTGCCTTTCCATGGACTGTGGGGAGAACTCTAAGCTCCCAGTGGGTGGGTCCACTTTGTAGGGTTTGCTCTAAGATCTTGGGCCCTATACCTACAGGATGAGCCCACATATTGGCTTGGGGTCAGTAGAGCTGCGTCTTCTTGGGGGTTGAATGCCCTGGGATTTGGGTGAGGCTGAACCAGCCAAGTGAAGGTGAGTGATGACTGGCCTCTGGGGCTGCCCTCTTTATTGTATGGGAGGTTTTCTTTGGGAATACTCTGATGGTTTTGAGAAAGGCCAATGGGAAAAGTGGGTTTGATGGAGCATTTGGTGGCCCTCAGGGATATAGGAGGTGGAGATCGTTGAAATATTGGAGTTGACCACACCTATTCACTTTTTCATCGATCCAATGATTCATCTGTTCCTTGGTGCCAGGCTCTAGGGTAGACACTGGAGACTTAGAGGCATCATATGTGATCCCTGCCCTGGGAGGAGTTCCCTGTTTGGTGAAGGAGTAGACAGAAACATTCAAGAGGGGATCAGGAGGATGTATGGCATGGGGAGTATCTGTGCTAGGTTCTCAAGCTGGGCAATGGGAAGAGGGATCAACTGTGCTTAGACCAGGATTGGCTTCCCAAGTGGAGAAGCGTGAAGGAAATGTTTGAAATTGGTGGGGAGGAAGGAAGGCCTTGTTAGCAAGAAAACAACAGGTGAAGTGACACAGTGTGGAGTAGCTGGTGCCTTGAGCACCTGTAAGTGGGCTTGCTGTGGCTGGAGAATAGAATGGGGGCAGTGGTGGTTGAGAGTTAAGGCTTGAAGTAAGCCTGGGTTCCAGGATGCCTGGGCTTTATCTTAAGGATGATGGGGTCATTAATGATTTCTTAACTGGGGAATCACCCAATCTAGTCTACATTCTAAAAATAAATCTCTTGATATTGCAAGGAGATGGACAGAGCAGCAAGATTAGAGAGAGGGAGGCCAGTTCTAAAGTCTAGGGAAGTGGGGAGGAGGAGCCCGACATTGCTAGAGGCTACCTCTGTGGCCCTGAAAGGATGAGGCTCTGTACTCCACGTGGAAAGTTGACTGCCCTGGGGAGTGACCTGGCTCATGGCTTCTGGGTGTGATCTTGCAGGTGGACACGCATATCCATGCGGCGGCATGCATGAACCAGAAGCACTTACTGCGTTTCATCAAGCACACCTACCAGACAGAGCCGGACAGGACTGTGGCTGAGAAAAGGGGCCAGAAGATCACCCTGCGGCAGGTGTTCGACAGCCTGCACATGGACCCCTATGACCTCACAGTGGACTCGCTGGATGTCCATGCAGTGAGTGAATATCTGTCCCAGATCTGGCTGGGGAGTCAGTCCCTTAGAATGCAGCCATGACTGTGCTTGGAGGGAGGCTCGTTGTGGAAGTAGTGCTTTCTCTTCTGGCCATGAAGACTGTGGAGGTTATTTGGCCTCAGAGAGTAAGAGGGCTGGAAGCAGACATGAAAGAGGAGAAGAGTGTGCAACAAAGTCAGGCAGGTCCAAGTTCTAACCCAGCTTCTGCCACTTAGGAATTGTGTGCTCTTAACTCAAGTTTTTATTCCTTTGCTTATAAAATGGTGATTTCCAATTTATAGTGCCTTGTTAACTTTACTAAATGATGTTTTAACACTAACAGTTGTTAAAACACTAAATGATGGTGCAATTGTGGAAAACAGTACAGTGGTTTCTCAAAATATTAAAATAATCTCTTCTAGCAACTCCACTACTAGGTATATACCCCAAAGACCTGGAAGCAGGGTCTTAAACATGCATACCATGTTCATAGAAGCATTTTGACACTAGCCAAAAGGTAGAAACAACCCCAGTATTTATTGGCCAATGAATGGGTATGAAAATGAGGTATATACACGCAATGGAATAGTATTCATCACAAAAAGGAATCAAGTACTAATACATGCTATAATGTAGATGAGCCTTGAAATCATTACATCAAATCAAAGAAGTCAAACAAAAGGACAGATACTATGAGTCCTCTTAAATGAGATGCATAGACTAGGCAAATTCAGAGAAAAAGAAAGGAGAACAGAGGTTGCCAGGGACTGGGGGGGAGGAAGGAATAGGGAGGTACTGTTAGTGGCTACATGGAACCTCTGTTTGGGATAATGAAAAGGTTCCAGAAATAGATAGTGGGGATGAGCACACAATTATGTGAAAGTATTTTGTGCTGCTGAACTGTGCACTTTAAATGGTTAAAATGGAAAATTTCATGTTATGTATATTTTACCACAATAAAATTTGTTTTGTTTAAAAAAAGAATAAACATGGGACCACCGGATGGTGTAATGGTTACATTGCTGGACTCATATGTAGTCGACTGCAGTTCGAGTCTGGACCCAGAGGCTTAAAACTCACACCAAGTGCATGTGCATGCATCCTAAAATTCCAAGAGGAGAATGGAGAAGGGATTGTGGCGTGGCCATTCCCCCTGGGGATGATTTCTCACTGTCTCTCTCTCTCTCTCTCTTTTGAGTGCATGTACCCTCTAGCAAAAAATCTCTCTTAAAAAAAAAAAAAAAGAACAGGACACTGGATGATATAATGTATCACTTATGAAGCCTAAGTAGAGATAGGAAACACTTCACTGATGACTGTCCAGCACCCTCTGCTCACTAAGTTGGCCACATGCCCAGCTATGGTAACTGGGAGC